GGGGGCGGAGGGACGCCTTTAAGCTGAAACCCCGCCCCTCGGTCGTCATGGCAACGCCTCCCCCCAGCCGGGGCTCCCACATTTCAGCAGGTGCTTGAGCTCGGAGCTCCCGCCGCCGCCGCCGCCCTTGCCTCGGGCTCCTCGGCGCCCCTGCCCTCGGCTCTCCGCCCTGCCCGCCCGCTCCCCCTGGCGGAGCGGGCGCGCCCCGGGGTGCCGCTCCCTGCCCTGCGCTCCGCGCCTGGAGGTGCCTCGCCCCTCTCCTTCCCTCCTCGCAGTCTCCCCGTGGCTCAGTGCTCTCCCGAGTCTCCGGCTCCTCGCCCTTCTACCTGTTTGCCCCTGCAAGGCGGGATCCTGGTCCCTGCTACGTTCCTGGGGCCATGGCAGGCCTGGGCCCCGGCGGAGGCGATTCAGAGGGGGGACCCCGGCCCCTGTTTTGCAGAAAGGGGGCTCTGAGGCAGAAGGTGGTCCACGAAGTCAAGAGCCACAAGTTCACCGCCCGCTTCTTCAAGCAGCCAACCTTCTGCAGCCACTGCACGGACTTCATCTGGTGAGGGAAGGGGCTGGGGGCCTGAGGGAGGAGGCAACGAGGGATAGAGACTCCTGTCACCCCAGACCCGGAGTGCTCGGGAAGGAGAGGGCTGCAACCCTGGCTCCTGGTCCTAGGGGAGGAGGGAACTGGGGACCCGGACCCCTGGGTCTGAGGGAGGAGGGGCTGGGGAAACGGACCCCTGGGTCTGAGGGAGGAGGGGCTGGGGACCCCGACCCCTGGGTCTGAGGGAGGAGAGGCTGGGGACCCCGACCCCTGGGTCTGAGGGAGGAGGAGGGGCTGGGTACTCGGACCCCAGGGTCTGACTGAGGAGGGGCTGGGGCCCCGGATTCCTGGTTCTGAGGGAGGAGGAGCTGGAGGCCTGGGCTCCTGGGTCTGAGAGAAGAAGGACTGGGGGTCAGAATTTCTGGGTTCTAGTAAACGAGGCAGCTGGGGCTCGACTCCGGGGTCTTGCTACAGGAGGGAGTCAGACGCAGTGTGGCCGGCAGAGGTGGGAGGCCCAGGTACCCTTATCTGCACTGACCTCTGATCCTTGATTTTGCAGGGGCATTGGGAA